AAAAAAAAAAAGTGGGGGCGGGGCTGGGGGAGTGAGAAATGCAAATCCTTGAGAAGGTGGTCAGGTCATGGGTCTCCAGGCAGACAAATCCAACTACTATGGCTACTCTAGGAGCTCTGGTGGCATAGTGCCTAAGGCATTTTGACTGCTAACCAGAAGACTGGCTGGTTCAAACCCACGAGCCACTCCTCAGAAGGAAGGTTGGGCAATCTACTTCTGCAGTGATACTGCCTCAAAAACCCAAGGAGGGGTCACTATGAGTCAGATCCGACTCCACGGCAGTGAGTTTTTTAGTTTATGGCTACTTTAGACAGAAGTGACAGAGGATAGCAGGTGACTCTGTCCAAATAATGTACAATTATTTAGGAATAGTCACTGGCACCACTGGGTCTCCCACAGGAAGTGTGTCAAGAGCAGTCACGTGCAATGGCATGGCCTTGAGAAGCCAGGCCTGCTGAACAAAGCTATTCACCATTATTACATAGATGACTGCTTCAGTCTAAAGGCAGAATATAAAATACTCCTACAATTGTAGTAGGATGAAGTGGGATGAGAGTTGGCACTAGAATCCCTACGAAAGTTGGGGGCACATCATCAACTGTAATTCCATCTTGCCAAAATCATTAGTTTGGAAGGCTTGGTGGGTTAGGAGCTATGCTACATAGTCTAGCACTTCCCACCCATTCTAGGCTGAACCTACAGATACTTTTGATGATATTTCATACTGGGTAGCGTTGTTGAACCTGGGCCTTACTCAAGGCTGCTGTCTTGAGTAAACTTTGAGTAGCAGAGTGCCCGGCCAGAGGACACCTCCACTTGTGGTACAAACAGAAAAATGCCCCAAAAAGTTCTCCTCCTTCCAAACAGGGAACTTAGAATTTCCTGATACAATCACAGCTGAAAGAGGGAGGGTAGCTTGGTATCTGGGTGGTCTATGAACTTTCTTGGTTGCTGTAGAAAGTTGATAATATTGGCTACCAGCCAAGTAGGTTCTGTTAACTGCAGTTGGATTTCTTGCCATTTGAGGGCACTGTTGGAAAACAGAAAGTGGTAGAGAATCTTGGCAATCCAGGCTGCTCTGCAAGGACAGTTCAAAGGTGGGGGGTGGGGGTGGAGGGTGCAGCAAGGAGAGAAATAGAAATTTGTGTATGTCCTAAAACAATGGAGCTGTGTATGACATCAGAAGGTAATTCTGATAGGCAATTTGAAGGTAGGATCTGAAGAGATTTCCACTGAGGCCTTGGTACAATGCCTGAGAAGATGGCTTTGGCCTCTCCAGTGGCAAGAGATGGGCTTATTAGGGCTGAGAAAAAATTCTTGTACACACCTGCAAGGTAGAGAATGGAGGGGCCTCTCCCTCACCCTCACCCTCACCCTCCAACTCCTACCTGACAGAGTGGTTGTACTAGACACCGGTGGGTACCTGAGTCCTAGCCCAAGAAGGAGAGCATCAATCAGAGAGGATACAAGGGTCTGGCTCTGGGCCAAGGGTCTGGGAGACTATCAGTTAGACAGACTGATCACACATGGTGGGAACGAAATCCACTCCAAAGAGAAAAGCAGCAATGGTGGGGCTGAGCCTGGAGGATGGACAGGCCAGAGGCAATGATGTAGACAACATCTCTTCTTGGGTTTTTAAGTTCTCAGTGAGCAAGTACAGGAAACTCTTAATTTAAAAGCACTCTCTTCATTTTTGTTTGTTTGTTTGTTGTTGCTATTGTTCTTGTTTCCCTGAAATAGAGCCTTAGAAGAAGTTATGCCCGTAACACCTGTGAATCCAGATGCCCTCATTAATCAGCCCAGAACTACCACGGAAACTCCATTTCACATTGGAATTCTCACCTTTACTTACCTCACTCATGGCCTACATTAACTCATGCTAACTTTTATTTCAATCTTCTGTTCTCTCTGATTCTCTAGTACTCCCAAACTTCTGGGAGTATCTCACCTTCCTACGCCAGAAAACCTCTCTCTCATTCATCCACTTCATCCTCACCTCATTGTCCCACCACCACTGTATCACATGCTTCCACTGCCCCAGACACCCTGAAGAGTGTGGTTCCTTCCTTGGGGTGCCTTTTCCTTCCTTCTGTCCAAAGAGCCTCTCTGGTTCTTGCCCTTTCTGACATGAGCCAGCGCCTCCACCAAGAGTGGGGACTAGAAGGAGAGGTCAAAGGAGCACTTTCTACATGTTGTTGTGTTGTTGTTTGCCGTCGAGTTGGCTCCGACTCATAGCAACCCCTCCTTGGGTTTCCGAGGCAGTATCACTACAGAAGTAGGATTGCCCAACCTTCCTTCCGAGGAGTGGCTGGTAGGTTTGAACCGCCAGCCTTCTGGTTAGCAGTCAAGTGCCTTATGCACTATGCTACCAGAGCTCCCACTTTCTACATAGTCGTCCCATTTACTGATTAGTTTTTCATAAGTAACAAAGAAGAAACAAATTTAAAATTTTTCCTTATTGGACCACTCACATACACATCCTGAGGCCTCTGGCAGAAGAATACACACCCATGGAGGAACTTGTGCTTTTATATGTATGTTGTTGTTGTTGTTGTTATGTGCCGAGTCGGACCTGACTCAAAGCGACCCCTCCTTGGGTTTCTGAGGCAGTATCACTACAGAAGTAGATTGCCCAACCTTCCTTCGAAGGAGTGGCTGATGGGTTTGAACCTCCAGCTTTTGGTTAGCAGTCAAGTGCTTTAGGCCCTACACTACCAGAGCTCCCCCTGTATATGTACATTTATATGTGGCCTATTCTCTGTGGCCGGAGAGCTTATGGCCTTCTCTAGCTTGGGAACCTCACAGCTGAATCTCCTCTTCCAAAAAGCCTACATTACTAGTCTATGTAGACTCATGATATAGTATTTTCTTTTGTTCTTTATTGAAACTAAATAATAGCTTTTTGCTTAATGCACTTGCTCCCTATCTTTACTGAAACCCCTACTCACCTTTTTAATGAATAATACACAATGAGTTAATAAATGGAAGACAGATGGGCTTTAGAATTCTCATATGTATAGCATAGACATTGACTTTGGGAATGCAGTATATTTAGACAGTGTTCCTCTTTTTAGAAGATTCATAATCAGAAATATTTTTTCTTAAAAACTATATTTATGAACTGTTTGCTTTATCTCAATAAACACCTCTGAACTGCAACTGTGTTTTATTGCTATTGGTAGAGATTTAGACCATAATTAAGTTGAAATTTACCTCTGATATATCCATCAATGAGCTGTAAATTAACTTCCACATTGCTAGAAGTTGGATCAAAGGTACAAATATTCTCAATTAAGTATCTATTAACATACTGTGGACAAAGAACAAAAGAAGGTTATGGGGTCCCTAACAAGTGGAAATGTAGTGTCTAATCAACAAGTTTACATGATTCCCTTTATAGACACTTTAAAAATATTTTTAAAACAGGCAAAACCAATCTGTGCTGTTAGAAGTTAGGACTGTGGTCATCTTTGATGTGTGTATATGGGGAGTATATGGGAGAGGGCAGAAAGGAAGACTTCAGGGATGCACCTAATGTTCTATTTCTTTATCTACGTCCCAGTGACATGGATCTGTTCATTGTGCAAAAATTCTTGGATTTCTGCACCGAGAATTTGTGCAGTTATGACCCATACATTTAAAGTTGTGTAGGTTTTTCTTCAGTAAAAAGAGTACTTAAATTGCACTCCTAGGTATTTACTCAAATGGGTTGAAAATGTATGTCCAACAAAAACCTGTACTCAAATGTTTATAGCAGCTTTATTCATAATTGCCCCAAATTAGAAGCTACAAAGATGTCCTTCATAGGTGAATGGACAAACCAACAATGATACATCCACACAATGGAGTATTATTGAGTGATAGAAAGAAATGAGCTATCGAACTACAAAAAGATATGGAGGAATCTTAAATACATATTGCTAAGTGAAAGAAGCCAGTCTGAGAAAGCTACTGTATGAATATTGTTTGATTCTAACTATATGACATTCTAGAAAAGGTGAAACCATACAGAGAGTAGAAAAGATATCAGTGGTAGCCAGGGGTTTGCAGGAAGGAGTGAGAGATGAATAGGTGGAACACAGGGCATTTTAAGGGCAGTGAAGCCATTCTGCATGATACTGCAATAGTAGATCCATTACATTACATATTTTTTAAAACCCATAGAACTGTAGAAACAAAAGAGCGACCCCTAACATAGACTACTACAAACTTTAGTTAATAATAATGTATACATTAATTGGTTCATCAAGTGTAACAAATGTGCCACACTAATGCAAGATGTTAGTAATAGGAGAAACTGTGTACAGGGGGCAGAGTGGCTATCTGGGAATCCTGTATTTTCTGCCCAAGTTTTCTATAAACCTAAAACTGCTCTAAAAAATAAAGTGCACTAAATTTCCAAAACTTACCAGTTTACACTTATCCCAGTCCTCAAAGTCACTTGAGAATTCCAACTCTGGATGAAGGAACAAGATAACCCCCATCAGGATGTCATGCACTAGGTTTGTGTTGGCTTCAATGTCCTGGAACTGGCCAGAAGAGTCTTCAAAAGAGTTTGGCTCTGTTAGAAGTTTGTGGTCATAAATCAACAGTGACACAAAGTCTATGGAGCTAAGCAGTCGGATGCTGTCCTGCAGCTCCTGTAGCATGATTCGGAAGAAGATCACTCCTGCCCTCTGTACTTCTCCGGCATTTTCAATCTCTGGAATAACAGCATGACATCTCACATTGTTGTTCAGTCACATACATTACTTTCTCTTGAATTCTGAGCATATTAGAGTAAACACCTTCTCCACCACCCTGGTATCAGAAGACCACAATCTAAGGTTTTAAACAATCTGTTTCTCTTGCTATGAAATCAAAAGGCAGACAATGGAATTATACCTGGTGAAGCTCACAGGAAGGCACTCTGAGGAAAGGAAAAAACTTGGGGTTTGGAATTAGACCTCAGTTTGAATACCCACTTTCCCTTTCATGGGTTGTTGTTTCTCTGAACTGCCTCTCTCTTCTGGGAGAATGGGGTGATCCTTGGTGAGTTGTGAGAATTAGATGAGAAGCTATGTGTAAAAGCGCTTTGTTGTAGACCTGACACACAGTGGATGCCCAAGAAGCACAAATTTTCTTCTTTATTACTATTGCATGCTACACACAGCTGGAAAGCTTTCAGCTTAATCCCACATAATGTTACTCTTGGAATTCTTTTCATTACATTCTAGGTAGGAGCTCTGGTAGCGTAGCGCTTAAGGCAGTTGACTGCTAACCAGAAGGCTGGTGGTTCAAACCCACCAGCCACTCCTTGGAAGGAAGGTTGGGCAATCTACTTCCGTAGTGATACCGCCTCGGAAACCCAAGGAGGGGTCGCTGTGAGTCGGGGCCGACTCGACGGCACATAACAACAGCAACATATTCTAGGTGGCCAGGTTCCCATGCCTTCTTCTTTCCTTCCCAATCCTTGAACTGGTTTTGTGCTAAGAGTAGCAGCCTAGTGGATGTGGAATTACAAGAAGTGGGTTCTGGTCTTGGCTGAGTCACAGACTTGCTATTGGACCTTGGATAATTCACTTTACTTTTATGGGTTTTAGTTCTTCACCTATAAAACAAGATGGTTTGACTAGTTCCTGCTGTATAACATAGAGGGCATAGCATGATCTTTGGGATCACCCAAATCTGGATTCAAATTCAGTCTTTACCACTTAGTAACTATGTAATTTGGAGCAAGTTGTTTGGCTTCTCTGAGTTTTGCTTTTCTAGCCTGTGAAGCGGGGTATTATCATTCATCTCATAAGGCTGGGGTGCGGATTAATTGAAATACTGTATTTGAAGTGCTTGACATGTAATGGGGCATTTGATAAATGCTAGATCTATATTGCCTTTAAGAGTTGTTTTACTTCTAAAACTGTATAAAATGATTCTAACCAAGAGAATGTGATTCCTTACCCTTTGCTCTAATTTATAGACCACTCATCAGCCCAACTGTATGAGGGAATTCTTTTCACATGGAAATATCACACTTCTTTTTAGAAACGCATCCTTCGTTACACTGTCTGTGTTTTTCCCAAAATCTATTAAACCCATGGATCCAGACTGTTGCAGCATTCACAATACCTAAGATATACTTTTTCTTTATCTCTCCAGTCAATTCGCCCAGTATTTCATAGCAGGCAGCCTGGACCACCTTCATCATTTTCTGCAGATCTTTATATTCTCGATACAACAACATCCTACTCCGGCCAATGTTAAAATCGATGACTCCCAGAGCTTCTCCTGTTCTCTCACGAAGTGGAATTGCTATGTGGGTTTCTCCACAGGCGGAGGCCAAAATAACTTCTGAAGTGTCTGTGCACTTAAAGAGGAAATCTCTGAAACCGAAAGTGAATAAGCATAAGAACAAAAAAACGTCAGCCTGTTTTACACATTCCAGCCAACTACATCTCGTGCCTACTACACTCCAACCACACCTGCCCTTTGTGCTGTTTCACCTGCTTGGAATACTCCATCCTTTGATTTCACATGGTCCCTACCTCCACTAACTCAGGTCTCAGCTCTCCTCCCTAAAGAAGCCTCCCCTGACCTCCACATCTAGAGCAGCATCACTTGAATCATGTTCCATCCTGATACCCGGCTTTATTGTCTTCACTGCAGTTACACGTATCCAAAGAAGTTCATTTTTTAAATTTATTTGTTGTCCAATAGATATTGGTTGAATACTTGAGGAATGATGGGTGTGTTAAACCATGTTCCCTAGAAACAGAGTCTGAGGAGCTCTGGTAGCATAGTGCCTAAGGCATTTGACTGCTAACCAGAAGGCTAGTGGTTCAAACCCACCAGGCACTCCTTGGAAGGAAGGTTGGGCAATCTACTTCCATAGTGATACTGCCTCGGTAACCCACGGAGGAGGGGTCGCTATGAGTTGGGTCCGATTCGACAGCACATAACAACAACAACAATAGAAAAGGAGTCTGAGACAGAGATTCTTGTGGAAGTAGTTTATTGAAGGAGAGCTCTTGGGGGAAACCTGTAAGGGACTGAGGGGTGTTAGATAGAGAAAGGGGTGAAGCTAAGCAAGAATGTGCTTTCAGAAGAACAGGCTGGTGCCCGACTGCCGCTGTCAACTACTCAGAGGGAGACTGGTGCAGGACATACTGGATAGAGTGAGAGAACAATGGGGAACAAAATTCAAAATCCTAAAAAAGACCAGGTCTTATAAAAAAGACATGGTCTTATAGAGCCTTGTGAGACCCCTGAGACTATGGCCCCTAGCTACCTTTCAAGTCTGGGATTGAACTCACTCCTGTGGCTTCCAGCCAAATAACAGACAGGTATATGGGCTGAATATTTACATCAGGTAGATACACTTCTTGGAGCTATCAGTCATGGGGGAACAGAAGGGCAGTGTTTGCATAGGAAGATAGGTGGTGGTGGGGTGGGAGTGCATGGGAGGGAAGGACATAGGGAAGAGGTAACTATGGGGAGGAAGTGTTACATTGTGGGAAATTGCAGTCAATGTTGTGAGACAAAATGTGTATGAACTGCTGTATGGAAAATGAATTTACTCTGTAAACTTTCACCCAAATCACAATAAAAATTAAAAAGGAAAAAAAGAACATGCTTTCAGGTGAAGTCTAGCTTCAGCTTGACACCAAGGGGAACTCTGGAAGGTAAATTATACCACAGAGTCTGTTCCATCTTGAGGCAAAGGAGAGGGGCTTTTGCATCCTGGCAGTGGTCAGTCATTGGCTCTAAGTTGCTCTGGGTGTGTGTATGTGTGTGTTTGCTGTTTACATAACTCTTAGGTACCTCCTGAAGAGAGACTCCAACAGTGAACCATTAGCAGCAGTACCTGCAGCAGCTGGCAAAAGAAATACTGACAATCTAGGTAAGGCACCAGTAGTATCTGCTTCAATGAGGGACCTGAGATTTCCAGAGAAATATAGTGGCTGCTTTTTTTTCTAGTGAAGCATAGACCCATCTCTTTCTTTCTTTCTTTCCTCATTTATGTTGATATTGAGATGCCATTCCTTTGTGGTATTTATAAAAATGTTGATGTTTTGCATGGCCTCAAAAAGCACATGTATAGTTCATAAGATAACTTATAATGACAGGTAGGATTATACTTCTGCTATTCCCACCCCCTCCTTCCTGCTGAGCCATCACTTTGTGTCTAGTACTAAACTTCCCAGTACGCATTGTACTAAACTTCCCTGGCATGATGTAAAAGCTGGTTGATCAACACAGTTCCTCTAAGGCCTTCTGCTCTAAGTTACACACAGGAATTCAAGGTTATGAATTTGGGTGTTGTTATAGGGACTCCTATAAACCTGTTGACCAGCACAAAGAATAACTAGGTGGAAAAGAGCTTGAAACTGAGTAAATATTTTGGAGTGAGGCCAAATGAAAACCTAATTAACTTATGTGATTAAATGTCAAATTAGCTTAGTCTGAGATACAGTTACTGCCTATTTATTCAACTACATTGATTCCCCCTAAGAAGCAGTCAGTCCCTTATGCAAAATAGGTATGTTCTCAGTTAAAATCTGTTTTGCATCTGTCCATAGTTTAGCAAGCTCTGGTGGCACAGTGGTTAAAGTATTTGGCTGCTAACCAAAAGGCTGGCAGTTCGAACCAACCAGCTGCTGCTCCATGGGAGAAAGATGAGGCAGTCTTGCTTTTGTAAAGATTTATAGCCTGGGAAAACTTACAGGGCAGTTTTAATCTGTTCTATAGGGTTTCTATGAGTTGGAATTGACTTGATGGCAGTGGGTTTGGGTTTGGGACATTTCAGTACTGTTTCTTGAATTCCACAGGTAAGAGTCATTCTAAGGAATCCAGAGCTAGGTCCTTATTAACGACAATATTCTCTGCCTCAACCTCACTCTTCCTCCATCCATCTTTTTAAAATTCACAGGGTCACAGGCTAGCTAACTTTAACAGATGAGCTCTAACAAGTGATATGGATAGATTATCATGTTGGGCTTTTGTTGAATTCTATGCCTACAAGAAAATCATAGAAGATAAAACACTATCATGCTTTAAAAACACAATTTAATATTAAAATATTTATGAAATTTGTTTTAATTAGAATTTTGGAGGAGTCACTACATCCCATGCAGATGAGTCTATAGGAGTTTTTCCTCAAAACCCAATCAGAATGAGAGTCAGTGTGCACTACTACGGGGCAGAAGCTGTGTCTTTCAGATCTGCTATCATGTCAGGGGAATGTGTTTTGACAGTCAAGAAAAGCAGAGAAGTCTCATACCTGAAGATGCATGCCTTCCTAAAGATAGTAGGGGGATTGGTGTGGATTTCTGTTAGACCCATGTACCCTGTAACCATCATATTGCGTAAAACATAGTCTGAATCCTTGAAAAAAGAAAAAGATTTAATTACAGAGAGAATTAATTAGACCTGATATTCTCATTACAGCTTTTAGGGACAGATAAGACAAGGACACTTGGCAAACTGTAAAGATTATGCTGCCTTGGCAAACAGGCTGCTAGCACATTCCCTAGTATACTTCTTCCATGTCTTACTACTTGGAGTTACATTTACTAGACAGATATGATTTTAAAAAATCTCACTCTGATCGTGTCTCTAGGTTTAAATCTTACAGCCCAAACCAAACGATTTCTCTTCTTATTCCCCCAAAATTGTAGAAAACGTTTATTTAAGTTTAGATGACCTCTCACTTTTCCATACAGTGACATTTTACTTACTCAGTACCTTTAAGAGATGAAATATTCCACAAGAACAAATTTTCAAAAAAAGAGATTATTCTAAATGCACAAACTTACTTTTATAGCTGTGATGAACTAATGTTTACATTCTCACTCAAAACCAAACTCACTGCCATGGAACCGCATCCAATTCATAGCGACCCCCCCTTGGGTTTCCGAGGCAGTATCACTACAGAAGTAGATTGTCTAACCTTCCCTTCCGAGGAGTGGGTTTGAACCGCCAGCCTTCTGGTTAGCAGTCAAAAGCCTTAGGCACTACACCACCAGAGCTCCTATGTTTACATTACTTTCTCGTTTTTAAAATTATGATCCATTTCATGTTAGAGTTGAAGAACAAGTTCTAATGTTTAATTTTCAGGGGGAAAAAATAAAAATCCCTGGACTTAATGATCCTCAGAGGTTCCTGGTTCATTTGGAACAGCTTTTGCTGCCATCCTGCACCTGACAGGTCCTCACTCAAGTCTGGTAAATACCACGGAAGGCGATGGGGGAAAGGAGGGAGGAGGGTGTGAACGCAACAGCAACGGGCCACCCTGGATTTTCCTCTGGACACACAGGCAGGAGCAACCTCGGGTGAGCGCCCCTCCTCCTTCGGTCCCACGGGCCAGCCCCAGGCCCACGCACTAAGGAGCCCTGCCTCTCCATCTGGTCCCCCGGCGCAGGATGTCCTGCAGCAGCCGGTTGACCACATCCAGCGTCTCATCCTTCTCCAGCACGATGTCATAAGAGTCCATGCAGCGTCCCTGGCGCTCCTCCACCTTGTTGGATAGGAAGCCAATCTTGAGAATGTTCTCTACACCTGGAATCCTATCTGCCATAGTCAGGTCCCCCATGGAGTCGCCAAGCAAGAGGATGTCGGTTTTGCCCTGAAACTTCTGGAAGTAACTAGAATTCCCACACACAGCTCTGTTGTTGTGTGAATGACCTGGCCCTTGAACCCCTGAAGGAAACGTTTTCAACAAATCCATAGAGTTAAACACAATATGGATGTTGGGGTAGAAAACTTTCATCTGTCAGATAATTTTCCAGGATATCACCAATGTCCATGGAAAAGATGAAAAGAGGAATGTTGTTATGGTAAAGTGTATTGAAGAACATCTTATATCCCTAAGCCTTGCATTGGATTTTCTCACCACCTGAGAAATCTGAAACTTCTGAATTTTCTGCTAACACAGGACATCATGAGCTTTGGTCCACCATTCAACCTTAAGAGGTAACTTTTCTCTGGTGGCCCGGTCTGAGGCGATCTCAGTTGGGTAACACCGGTAAAGCAGCGCCTTTAGCTCTTTCCTGCACTCTTCACCAACGATCTTGCAGCTATCCAGAATTTTAAGAAGGATATTGCTTTCTATCATATGCAAACCTGCTCAAGGTCATGTCAGAATCAGAAATTACTAAACCAAAAAAAAAAAAAAAAAAAAGTCACTGCCGTACAGTCAGATCTGACTCATAGCAACCCCTCCTTGGGTTTCTGAGACAGTATCTCTACAGAAGTAGATTGCCCAACTTCCTTCCAAGGAGTGGTTGGTGGGTTTGAACCATCAGCATTCTGGTTAGCAGTCAAATGTCTTAGGCACTACACCACCAGAGCTCCAGCGTTGGAAACCCCATGGGGCAGTTCTATTCTGTCCTGTGAGGTAGCTGTGAGTCAAAATCAACTTTATGGCAGTGGGTTTGGTTTTTTAGTTTCTTTATAATAAAGTAACAGTAATGTACTCTGTAAAATACACTAAACTGCGTTGTTGATGTTGTCAGGTGCCATCAAGTTAGCTCTGACTCACAGTGACCTTATGTACAACAGAACGAAATACTGCCTGGTACTGCACCAACCTCACAATACTTGCTATACCTGAGCCCATTGTTGCAGCCACTGTGTCAATCTATCTTGTTAAGGGCCTTCCCCTTTTTTGCGGACCCTTCACTTTACCAGGCATGATATCCTTCTCCAGGGAATGGTCCCTTCTGACAACATGACCAAAGTAGGTGGCCATTCTTGCTTCCAAGAAGCATTCTAGCTGCATTTCTTCCAGGACAGATTTGTTCATTCTTCTGGCAGTCCATGGTACTTTCAGTATTCTTCACCAACACCACAACTCAAAAGTATCAACTCTTCTTCAGTCTTCCTTATTCCTGTCCAGCTTTCACATGCATATGAGGAAATTGAAAACATGTGTCTTTGCTTTTCTTCATTCTTCTTTGCTCCAGATGAGAAGAGACCAATTGTTGCATCTTAGATGGCCGCTTGCAAGCTTTTAAGACCTCAGTCACTACTCGCCAAAGTAGGATATAGAACAATGTTTTTGTTTGTAGAACAAAGTTGTGCCAATTGAGCTTGATGTCCCTCATGACCATGGTCCTGAGCCCATGGGTCCAGTGATTTATTCCATTTGGGAGAAGTTTTTATGCCTCCTCCCTTTTAAAAATAATTCTTTGATTAAAAAAGAAACCTTGATAATCAGACCCCTAAGGGGCTGCATGCTGACTAGGTAGCTTAGAATATGAACTGCTTTGTAATACAAAATTTGCCTTCACACTCCAGGATTTCAAGTGTTCTTTCTACCAAGCTCTTTAGATGAAAAAAAAAAAAAAAAAAGTTTTCAACAGAATACTTGGCAAACTTTGAAGATTATGACACATTGGGAAACCAGCTTCTTGCTTATTTCCTAGTATGAGTTGCTACTTAGTGTTAAACATACTAGATTGATCTGATTTTTAAAATCTCTGACTGTGTTTCTAGGTTTAGATCTTACAGACAAAGTCAAACGATTTCTCTCCTGTTTTTCCTTCCCAATGTTGTTGAGATTGACTATTTCTGCTCTTAGACTAGAAGCATAATATAGAAAGTATGAGACTCATAAGAATATGGCTGAAAACAAGTTTGTTTTTCAGCTAGCCCAATAAATTATAAATTCAGCAAACCCTGAACCAATTTTTCAGTAGTGAAATAACCATTCCTTGTTAAAATTTCCTAGGAAACCCTTTGGAGAAGAAAACTGCAATCATATTTCCCCTATTTTCTTTCTTTTCCTCCTGGTTTAATACTTTTCCAATATCTAGTTTTTCTCACTTTTCTCGTTACACATTAGTTATCTTTAGTATTTATCTTCTGTGGTGATTATGTTTTTGTGTCAACTTGGCTAGGCCTGGTTGAGTGGCTGGGCAGCTGGTGGTAGGTATTCCCCATGATGAGACTGGCAATCAACTCCATGGTGGGCTCTACCACAAGCAGCTGAGTAGCGCTGCCTTTGGGATATGGTCTGCTTCCTGTATATAAGGAGAAGCTTTGCGAATGGTCTCTAGCATATGGCACGCTTGGACCCTGCATGTAGCCATGTCGTTGCTCAGCAGCCTGCCATGCTCTGCCGACCCTGGGACTTACAATGGACTTAAGTTAATGGCCTGCCGTGTGGACTGGTAACATCGAAACTGTGCCTTTTACTTGTCAGCCTTGGGGCTTCCCAGCCTCAGCAGCCTGCAGCTGCCTGAGTGAAGCAACGCTTCTAGCTCCAGTGGGCCGGAAGCAGGAGGCAGAGCTGGACCCCAAGGTTGAGGGGTTTTCACCTAGCCCCTAGAGCCTGGCACTCTGAACTTGGGCTTAAAGCCTCCAAATTGTAAGAATAAACCCCCTGTTTGTGCTGTATTCCTGTCAGAGTGGCACCAAGTAACCAGAACATCCTCCTCTTGATTTTTTTTCTTTGGATGAATATTTTGTTAAAAGAATGAAATAGAAGATATCAGAAAAGAACATATGTAGTGAAAGTAGATACTGTTTTGAAACACTTCTGTTTCAAATGTCTATGTGTGTGTTTCTGCACATGTGGGTCTTGGACAATACAACAGTGAGCCACACTGATCCCAGATATTTGGCATGCCCCAGGGCTGTCCTCAGATTTCCTTTTCTATTCTCACTTATTCTCTAGGTAATCCCATCTAGTCTTATAGTTTTTAAGTATCATTTATTCAATAGCCTGGATTTCCCCCTGAACACCAACCTCATCTACCCAACTTCCTATTTAATACCTCCACTTAAATGTCTAGCAGATATTTCAAATTATAATTTTAAAAATGTTTGTCAATTTTGTAGGTAAAAAGTTATTTTTTAACTTAACTTTGTGTTTATCATGAGAACAATTGAACATTTTCTCACTTATTGACCATTTGCATAAGTTGTTTTTTTTTTTTAAGATTGTTGAGGTCCTTTGTCTATTTTTATTCTGGAATACTTACTTTTCTGTTTCATTAATTTATGAATAATGATGTTAACCCTTTGATAGACAGGTGGCAATTTTTCCTCCAGTTTGTCATTTAATTTTATTTATAGTTTTGATGCAGGAAAATTTTACATTTTTATATAGTCAGTATATCAACCTCTCTTTAATTGTTTCAACCATTGGTGTAGGTTTAGCAATCTTCCCTGGAGGTAGCAGCAGTCATGAAATCAAATGATGTACAGACAGTCCCTAGGTCACGAATGTCTGACTTATAACTCTTTCTTGCCCTGAATCTTTCAAACTTGCCCCACTTTGAAGTGTGTGAACAAATCCCTATATGCAACAAATTATCACAATCACCTTCACTTGCTGCATGCACAGCTTCTAAATCATTGGAAGGGTTTGTAACCTTTTC